GGCAGACGAGGTTATGTATTACGTGATGAATTTAAAATCTCTGGAAGAAATTGGAAACTCAATTTATGGAAAAATCTCTCACGAACCAATTGTATCTGAAGCAAAATTTATATGGGTTGAAGATGCAAGAAGGGTCTGATCTTGCGCAGCATGTTAATGACTTCAATCAAATAATCACAGACCTGTCACGACTTGATGTGAGTATTGAGGATGAAAATTGAACGATGATTTTGTTGTGTTCATTGCCCTCTTCTTATGAACACATGGTGACTACTCTGACATATGAGAAAGAAACAATCAAAGTTGATGAGATTACTGCAGCGTTGTTGGCTCATAACCAGCGGAAGCAGAATGCAGAGGAAAGCTCTCACGGTGACAGTTTATATGTTAAGGGTAAGCAGAATCGTGGAAGGAAGAAAGAGAAGGAGCATTCTGGAAGGTGAAATTCCAGATCCAAGTTCAAAGGAAAAAAAGAAATTCATTGCTACAAGTGCAATGAGCCAGGTCATATGAGAGAGATTGTCCAAAGCTGACCAAAGTTGAAGAAGCAGACTGGGGAGAAAGGTGATACATCATCGAAGTCTGTAAATGTGATACATAATAATAATTCAGATTGTAGTGATAGCGATATGCTTTCAGTTTCATCAATTCAGTTCACGGATGCATGGATTCTTGATTCAGGATGTTCATATCATATAACACCTAACAGAGAGTGGTTTACTTCATACATGTTAACTAATTCTGGCTCAGTCTATTTAGGAGATGATAAATATTACAATATTACTGGTATTGGAGAAGTCAGACTTCAGATGTATGTTGACACAGTTAGAACGTTATGTGATGTCAGACATATTCCAGATTTGAAGAAGAATCTAATTTCTTTGAGCACTCTACACAGAAATTCAACTAATTCTCGCTTAGTTTATCTAGGTGATGATAGATGTTGCAATATTGTTAGTATTTGAGAAATCAGAATTAAGATGTATGATGACACAGTTAGAATATTATGTGATGTCAGACATATTTCAGATCTGAAAAAGAATTTGATTTCCTTGAGCACTTTAGATAGAAATGATTTCATTCCTAAGACAGATGAGGATAGGGAAATCATCAGAATTGTTAATGGTGCAATGACGGTGATGAAAGGAAAGTTAACTGCAGGCAATATCTACAAGCTGTTGGGGAGAACAGTTGTAGGTAGAGTTCATTCTGTGGAGTCAGATGATGATAGTACAAAGTTATGGCATATACGTCTGGGTCATCTCAATGAACGTGGGATGGTGGAATTTTATAGAAGAAATCTATTGCATGGTGTTAAAAGCTGCAAGCTCGATATTTATAAGTTTTGTGTTCTTGGAAAACAGACTAGAGTCAGTTTTATGACAGGAAAACATAAAACTGAAGGGATTCTTGATTATGTGCATTCTGATGTATGGGGCCCTACTAGGGAGTTGTCATTGGGAGGATATCAGTATTTCGTTACCTTTATTGATGATTTCTCCAGGAAAGTTTGGGTGTATTTCTTGAAGCAGAAATCTGAAGTCTTCTATAAATTCAAACTATGAAAAACTGAGGTGGAGAACCAAACTGGCAGAAAGATCAAGTATTTGAGATCTGATAATGGCACAAAGTACACGGATTCGCAGTTTCAAAAGTTCTGTGAGGAGCATGGGATTCAAAGACATTTTTCAGTGCGGAAGACACCACAGCAGAATGGTGTGACAGAAAGGATGAACATGTCTTTAACTGAAAGGGCAAGGTGCTTGAGACTGAATGCAAGGCTTCCTAAGAGTTTCTGGGCAGAGGCTGTGAATATGACATGCTATCTCATCAATAGATCACCTCGAGCATCATTGGGTGGCAAGGTCGCAGAAGAGGTATGGACAGATAATCCAGTTAAATTTGATCATTTACAGATTTTTGGATGTCCTGCTTATGTGCATGTACCTGGAGATGAAAGATCCAAACTTGATGCAAAATCCAAGAAATGCATCTTTCTGGGCTACAAGAAAGCTGTGAAAGGATACAAGTTTTGAGATCCGATTGCAAAGAAGATGGTGATCAGCAGAGATGCAAGTTTTGATGAGCAGTTTATGTTACAGCAGAATCAAGACAATATGTCAGAGAAGAGTTCCAGTTCAAATGTAGTGTAGATGGATTTAGAACAACAGAGAGGTGAAAGTTCAAATCCAACACCTGGTGATTCTATTTCAGATGATCTACATAATTATAATCTAGTCAGAGATAGACAGAGAAGCACCAATGTAAGACCTCCTAGCAGATTGGGTTATGAAGACTTAGTCTCATGTGCACTTCTCATCAGCAGCGATGATCCAGCCACTTTTCAATGAGCTATCACTAGTCATGAAAGAGAGAAATGGATGGATGCAATGGTTGAGGAGATTGAGACTTTGCAGAAAAACCGTACTTTGGAGCTAGTTCAACTTCTAGAGAGAAAGACGACTATTGTGTGCAAATGGGTCTACAAAAAGAAACCAGCAAAGACACCAGAAGAATAAAAAAAAGAAGGGGAAAAGTTCAAGGCTCGACTGGTTGTAAATGAATTTTCACAGCAGAGGGGATAAATTATGATGAAATATTTTCTTCTGTGGTCAGACATACTTCAATCAAAGCAGTGTTTACATTAGTAGCTATTTGGGTAGTAGCTATTTGGGAC